TATGATAATAAGCGCATCGTGGTGAACAGTCATATAAAAAACTTGTTTGGTATTCCTCCCATAAAAAATGAAACTTGTGCGGGTTTAAAAAATGTCCAAAATGGAATCAATAGTTGTATCGCTGCAATGGCCGTCTATGACGTCGCCACGGATCAGTGGGATCCAATTCTTGTGCATATTTGCTTGCAGCGCTTGCCTTCAACCACCTTGACTTTGTGGGAGCAAAGCATAAAAAATAAGTCGTTGTTGCCTTCCTGGCCAGACTTAGATGCTTTCCTAACAAACAGAATACAAACTTTGCAGTGTATTCAGAGCATACATAAAAATCAGTCCACAGAAAAGTATTTGCCCAAAATAGTTTCGTCTCCTAAGTCCTTATTGTCGCCAAAGAATGTTACTCCTCCCAGACCTGTGAAGAAATCATTGTCTTCAAAGAACGTTTCACCTCATCGCTCCTCCACTAGATCGTTGGCATCCAAGCATGTTCGTACATCTAGTTCAATAATTAAAAAGCCATTGGTGCATGAGCCAAAATGTGTTGCTCCATCTCCTCAGTCAAACACTTATTGCCCCAATTGTCCTAACCAGATACATGTACTGCGTCTCTGCCCCAAGTTTATTAAACTTTCGTTTGAGGACAAATTCTCGATTGTTAAAGAGAATAAGTGTTGTATAAATTGTCTTTCGCGTGGCCATGTAGTTAAAGATTGTCACAGCACAAATAGTTGCAAATCTTGCAAGCAAAGACATCACAGCCTTCTTCACCGGCCACAAATTAGTAGAGTTGTTGCAGAATCATCATCAAAACCATCTCTGGTATCTACTAATTTTAGAAATAGTCACACTTCACCATGCTACATGTCTTCCCAAACACTCGGATTGAAATCAAAGCAATCCTCTCCGGTTTTTACTCCAGTTAACAGTCGAGATTCGATGTCCAAACAGACTGTACCTCCAGCTTTTACAAAAGTCAAAAGTCGAGGTTCCAGTTCCCCTCCGGCTTTTACCACAGTCAAAAGTCGAGGTTCAAAATCCCCTCCGGCTTTTACTAATGTGAAAAATCGAGGTTCAAAGACCCCTCCGGCTTTTACGAAGGTCAAAAGTCGAGGTCCAAAGCCTTCTAAAACGCACCCACCCTCTGCTAAAAATAATAGTAACAGCCAGTCTCCCAACACCATTGAAGATAATGTGCTTTTGGGAACTGCAGTAGTCAACATAGTTCATAACGGTAAATCGTACACTACTCGCGCAATTGTAGATCCCTCTTCCAAGGCATCAATTGTTAGTAAAAAACTTAAAAATAAACTTGGCATGTTAACTCACTCTGAGACTACTTGTTCTAAACCTGTTGCACCAAGAGAAGTTTGTTCTCTTCAGTTGTCTTCCCCTAAAAATTCATCTAGAATTGTCCAAACTAAAGCGTTAGTCTTACCTAAAATCAAGGGGAAGTTGTTCTCGTCACCATCCTTTTGTAATTTAAAGACTCGAATTCCTAATCTTGATTTAGCGGATTCTTTCGATAATAGCCCAATAGATTTGCTGCTTGGCGCTGACCTATATCCTAAGATACTCGAAGCTGAACCACCCCAAATTGTTTTGGATTCGTTGTTGGCCCAAAAATCTATTTTCGGGTACATTCTCACCGGTTCAGTACCTCCCTCGACTGTAACGTAATATTGCACCGAAAATTGAAATCGACCAATTAGAAAAGAATCGTATCATTTATAGTCGAAATTTGCTAAAAAAAATTAATTGCGCTAAAGATTGAAATTGTAGACCGAATCTATCGGTAATTCGTCATATCGCTTTGATAATTTTAAAATCTGCAACTATAGCTCACTTAGGAATCTGAATTTACGTTCTTTCCTAACTTATAATAAATTGATATTAATTGCTAGACTCGTAGTTCTAGCAAGGGGGCCGGAATGTATAAGTTCGATATGTTCCACCACAACTTTCCAATACTCGTCAATCACGGATGCTGATTGGCACACTGGCATCTCCTCTACAATTCCCTTGGCGGATACCGTAGTGAGCGGATCGCCGCTGGGTATTGGTTGTTGGCGGTAGGCTCACCTTGCTCTCATTAGAAGTATTTGTAATAAAAAGAGACAAGGGATCCTCTGCGATCACATAGAACCTCTGCGTTCACTTGTCTGTGTTTGTATATGTAGTTGTAGATAGACATGGGACCCTCAGCGGTCACTCAGAACCATTGCGTTCACTTGTCTCGTAGAAACGGAAGCATCAACACACGGCCTCTGTCGCCACCCCAATTACTTAAGGTAATTTGTTGTTAGAAAAGAAAGAATCACCAATAAAACCATGAATTTATATTGAATTACACTAATTATATTTCTGTGTTTTATTTCTTGCATTTGTCTTTCTTTTTATCCTACACCACACACGCGTATCACCCGCACCACATCTCTCACCTACACACCTCTCATCTCACAAAATAACTCTGGGGAGTTTCGTTGTTCTTGCCGCTATCGAAGCCTTACCCCCACTCCCCTGAGTTTAACACATTGATTGAATAAAAATTGTTTTTTAATATTTTTTAAACCACATTGATTGAATGAAAATAAAAATCCATGTTTATTGAATGAAAATTATTTTTTTTTAAAAAATATTTTTTTAAAAAAATCCACGTTGGTTGAATAAAAATTATTTTTTTAATAACAATTTTTTTAAAGTTCAACTTGATATACTGAAAATTATTTTTTAAAAAAATCGACGTTGATTGAATTGAAATTATAATTCTTTTTTTAATAAAAATTATTTTTTTTAAATCTACGTTGATGGCATGATTTTTGTTTTTTGGAAAATCAAAAAAATTATTTTTTAAAATTATCCACGTTGATTGAATGAAAATTATTTTTTTTTAAATTATTTAAAAACAAATTTAAATTGATTAAACGAAAATTATTTTTTTAATTTTTTTTAATAAAAATTATTTAAAAAATCCACGTTGATTTAAAAATCCACGTTGATTGATTGAAAACTAGTTTTAATAAAAATTATTTTAAAAAAATCCACGTTGATTTAAAAATCCACGTTGATTGTTGAAGACTAGATTTTAATAGAAATTATTTTTTAAAAAAATCCACGTTGATTGATTGAAAACTATTTTTTTATTAAAAATTATTAAAAAAATCCACGTTGATTGATTGAAAATTATTTTTTTAATAAAAATTATTTTAAAAAAATCTACGATGATTGAATTTTTTTAAATTTAAAAAAATCCACGTTGATTGAATTTTTTTTAATAAAAATTATTTAACAAAAATCCAAGTTGATTGAATAACTTTTTTTTATAAAAATTATTTTTAAAAAACAATACACGTTGATTGAATACATATTTTTAATAAAAATTATTTTAAAACCAGTAAAGAAAGTCTTAAGGTCGGGCGGGGCCGACTATATGATACCCTACACCACTTTGCTAATTAAGTAGTGCTACACATAACAATTAAAAGTTTTTATGGGAAAATTCAATCATACACGCTATGATTATAATTATAATTTAAAGTTTAAAGGACTAAATATGCCGAAGCATTTATATCTTTTAAATTCGGACTTGTATTACCCATTTGGTGCACAATTAATTTGAAATCGGATAAAGATATATATGGGAGCTAAATCCAAATCTGAACCGATCTCGATAAAATTTGGCAAAGATATTTCTGAGCTGTATTTGATATATTTCCCTGAATATCGTTGTTACGGAGTGCATATTACGGATGTGGGTAATAAATATAACAAAGAATAATATATATGGAAGCTATAACTATATCTGAGCCGATCATCACCAAATTTGACATACTAGCTTCTAGACTCAATTCGATCGTAAGTGTCAAATTCCATCCCATTTGGACAAATATTAGACGTTTGGTGCACAATAAAAGGTAAATCGGACGAAGTTATATATGGGAGCTATATCCGAATCTGAACCGATCTCTATGAAATTTAGCAAATGTATTTCTGAGCTGTATTTGATATATTTCCCCAAATATTGTTGTAGCATAGTGCATATTACGGCTGCGGTGGACAAAAATAACAAATCGGATGAACAATATATATGGGAGCTATAGCTATATCTGAACCGATTTCAATCAAATTTGGCATACATATTTTCAGGCCTAATTTGGCTGTATATGCAAAATTCCATACAATTCGGGCTGATGTTACACGTTTGGGCCAAACAAATGATTTGTGCAAAATTTCATCTGGATAGGGCATTAAATGCGAACTGTACCTTGTTTACAAAAATACATGGACAGACGGACGGACGGACATGCATAAATCGACTCAGAATTCTCAGATTCTATGCAGATCATCAAAAGGAACTATGGGTCTATCTCGTTTCCTTCTGCCTGTTACAAACAAATGCACAAAGACATAATACCCTGACCACCTTGTGGTGTAGGGTATAAAAATCCACGTTAATTGATTAAAAATTATTTTTTTAGATTTTTTTTTAATGAAAATTTTTGTTTTAAATAATCCACGTCGATTGAATATTCATTCATTCTTTTTTAATTTTTTTAATAAAAATTATTTTTAAAAAATCCAAGTTGATTGAATGAAAATAATTTTTTTTTTAAATTTTTCTTTTAATTTCTTTTTAATATAAATTATTTTTTAATAGAAATCGAAGTTGATTAAATAAAAATTAGTTTTTTTTTTAATTTTTTAATAAAAATTATTTTTAGAAATATCCACGTTAATTGAATAAAAATGATGTTTTTAATTTCTTTTTTTTCAATAAAAATTATTTTTTAAAAATATCCATAAAAATAAAAATTATTTTTTTAATAAAAAATCCACGTTGATTGAAGAAAATTATTTTTTTAGTAATTTTTTTTTTTAAAAATCCACGTTGATCGAAGAAAATTATTTTTGTTATAAAAAATCTTTTTTAAAAAAAACCCACTTTGTTTTTTTTTTAAATCACACTGAATATCCGATTCTGTCTCCTTCTTATTTTAAGGATAAATAATTTGGCTAAAAATGTTCCATAAATACCTCAAAACTTTGCTGTGTGTCATATGGACCCTCTACAGCCCGGCGTATGGGAAGGCCCATGCTCAGCTGGAATTGCCACCACTGCCGACACCAAGACCAGAAATTTACTACAATGGTTATACGGTCTCCACTACCCCAGCCCAGGCTTTGGGTGATTTAGATCGAGATCAACGGTTTGGACCACCCTATGCGGATGATGGTAATGGGGATGATGGGTCGGATGATTTTAGGGTAAGACCAGAAGAAGAAAAAAAAAACACTTTCCTTTGAAATTAATTGAATTTCCATTTCTTACAGAATGGCCAGACCTATGATGAGCGCATGCGTTACGGTTTCAATTATCGTTCGAATTTCACCTTCCCCTCCGATTCGCCGTTTAGCGATAAGAATGTCTACAACACGCAGACGCTGTTGAATGATCGCTATGGCAATCGTAATTATGATAATAATCCATTGAATCATCAGACCTATAATGATCGGTATGGGCAGAATGCCTTGAATTTGGCAAATCAACAACAGCAGCAGCAACAGCAACAAAACAATCGTTACAATTATGCCAACAACAATGGAAATAATTTTGCGGGCGGGGTCACCCCACAACCACCCATAATTTTCAATAACCCCTCAACTCCGGTGAATTACAATCCTTCAACACCCCCGCCACCACCACCACCACAATCTGGATATAATCCTTCCACACCAAATGGTTATAATCCTCCCGTGACAACTTATAATCCCAACAATCCCAGCAATCGTTACCCCGGCGACGGCAATCGTTTCCAGAATCCCTACGACCCAAATCAGGATCGTTTCAATTTAAATCAACAATTCTACGATCAGCGACAACGCTTCCAAAATGATCGAATCTATCAGTTGGAGTTGCAAAAATTGCGAGATCTATTAGTGGAAACTGATCAACAGGGATCGCGGGAATGTACCGCCAATGTGGCAGCCCAGTGGAATTTCGAAACGAATGTCAATGAATTTACGCAAACGGAGGCGGTGAGTAAAGTCGTTTATTTTGTAGATTAAATAACATCGGACTACAGATTCTTTGGAGGGAGTAAAATTCAAAAAAATAATTATAATTAAATGGATTTTTGGGCACGAAGTCGGAAATTCCAAGAAACATATTCTCAAAAAAACCACAATTTTGCGGCCCTTAAAGTATTCCCAAAAATTCACTATTTTCGGGTAGGAGGGCTTCAGAAAAATTTCTTAAAGCAATCAATGATTTGTGGTTAGGAGATACTTCAAAAAATTCTTGAAAATCCACTTTTTCGGAGACTACCTGAAGACGGCCTAGTCTCCATAGACCAGCTGAAGCCGGTCCAGTCTCCATAGACCAGCTGAAGCCGGTCTAGAGTCTCCATAGACCAGCTGAAGCCGGTCCAGAGTCTCCATAGACCAGCTGAAGCCGGTCTAGAGTCTCCATAGACCAGCTGAAGCCGGTCTAGAGTCTCCATGGACCAGCTGAAGCCGGTCTGGAGTCTCCATAGACCAGCTGAAGCCGGTCTAGAGTCTCCATAGACCAGCTGAAGTCGGTCTAGAGTCTCCATAGACCAGCTGAAGCCGGTCTAGAGTCTCCATAGACCAGCTGAAGCCGGTCTAAAGTCTCCATAGACCAGCTGAAGCCGGTCTACAGTCTCCATAGACTAGCTGAAGCCGGTCTACAGTCTCCATAGACTAGCTGAAGCCGGTCTACAGTTTCCATAGACCAGCTGAAGCCGGTCTAGAGTCTCCATAGACCAGCTGAAGCCGGTCTAGAGTCTCCATAGACCAGCTGAAGCCGGTCTAGAGTCTCCATAGACCGGCTGAAGCCGGTCTAGAGTCTCCATAGACCAGCTGAAGCCGGTCTAGAGTCTTCATAGACCAGCTGAAGCCGGTCTACTCTCCATAGACCAGCTGAAGCCGGTCTAGACTCTCCATAGACCAGCTGAAGCCGGTCTACTCTCCATAGGCCAGCTGAAGCCGGTCTAGAGTCTCCATAGGCCAGCTGAAGCCGGTCTAGAGTCTCCATAGGCCAGCTGAAGCCGGTCTAGAGTCTCCATAGGCCAGCTGAAGCCGGTCTAGAGTCTCCATAGGCCAGCTGAAGCCGGTCTAGAGTCTCCATAGGCCAGCTGAAGCCGGTCTACTCTTCATAGACCAGCTGAAACCGGTCTAGAGTCCCCATAGACCAGCTGAAGCCGGTCTAGAGTCTCCATAGGCCAGCTGAAGCCGGTCTAGAGTCTCCATAGACCAGCTGAAGCCGGTCTAGAGTCTCCATAGACCAGCTGAAGCCGGTCTAGAGTCTCCATAGACCAGCGGAAGCCGGTCTAGAGTCTCCATAGACCAGCTGTAGCTGGTCTAGAGTCTCCATAGGCCAGCTGAAGCCTGTCTAGACTCTCCATAGACTAGCTGAAGCCTGTCTAGACTCTCCATAGACTAGCTGAAGCCTGTCTAGACTCTCCATAGACCAGCTGAAGCCGGCCTACTCTCCATAGACCAGCTGAAGCCGGCCTACTCTCCATAGACCAGCTGAAGTCGGCCTACTCTCCATAGACCAGCAGAAGCCGGTCTAGAGTCTCCATAGGCCAGCTGAAGCCGGTCTAGAGTCTCCATAGGCCAGCTGAAGCCGGTCTAGAGTCTCCATAGGCCAGCTGAAGCCGGTCTAGAGTCTCCATAGACCAGCTGAAGCCGGTCTAGACTCTCCATAGACCATCTGAAACCGGCCTAGAGTCTCCATAGACCATCTGAAACCGGTCTAGTCTCCGTAGACCAGCTTAAGCCGGTCTACAGTCTCCATAGACCATCTGAAGCCGGTTTAGAGTCCCCTTAGACCAGCTGAAGCCGGTCTAGACTCTCCATAGACCAGCTGAAGCCGGTCTAGAGTCTCCATAGACCAGCTGAAGCTGGCCTACTCTCCATAGACCAGCTGAAGCCGGCCTACTCTCCATAGACCAGCTGAAGTCGGCCTACTCTCCATAGACCAGCAGAAGCCGATCTAGAGTCTCCATAGACCAGCTGAAGCCGGTCTAGAATCTCCATAGACCCGCTGAAGCCGGTCTAGTCTCTCCAAAGACCAGCTGAACCGGTCTAGACTCTCCATAGTCCAGCGGAAGCCGTTCTAGAGTCTCCATAGACTAGCTGAAGCCGGTCTACAGTCTCCATAGACTAGCTGAAGCCGGTCTACAGTCTCCATAGACCAGCAGAAGCCGATCTAGAGTCTCTATAGACCAGCTGAAGCCGGTCTAGAATCTCCAAAGACCCGCTGAAGCCGGTCTAGTCTCTCCAAAGACCAGCTGAACCGGTCTAGACTCTCCATAGTCCAGCGGAAGCCGTTCTAGAGTCTCCATAGACCAGCGGAAGCCGTTCTAGAGTCTCCATAGACCAGCGGAAGCCGTTCTAGAGTCTCCAAAGACCAGCTGAAGCCGGTCTAGAGTCTCCATAGACCATCTGAAACCGGTCTAGAGTCTCCATAGACCATATGAAACCGGTCTACAGTCTCCATAGACCAGCTGAAGCCGGTCTACTCTCCATAAACCAGCTGAAGCCGGTCTAGAGTCTCTATAGACCAGCTGAAGCCGGTCTAGAGTCTTCATAGACGAACTGAGGGGAGTATCTATAGTCGAGCTGAGGGGAGTCTCTATAGACGAGCTGAGGGGAGTCTCTATAGACGAGCTGTGGGGAGTCTCTATAGACGAGCTGAGGAGAGTCTCTATAGACGAGCTAGCGGGAGACTCTACAGACAAGCTGAGGGGAATCTCTATAGACGAGCTGTGAGGAGTCTCTATAGACGAGCTGTGGGGAGTCTCTATAGACGAGCTCTGGGGAGTGTCTATAGACGAGCTCTGGGGAGTCTCTATAGACGAGCTCTGGGGAGTTACCTATAGACGAGCTGAGGGGAGTCCCTATAGACGAGCTGAGGTGAGTCCCTATAGACGAGCTGAGGGGGTCTTTATAGACGAGAAGAGGAGAGTCTTTATCGACGAGCAGAGGGGAGTATTTATAGACAAGCTGAGGTGAGTCTCTATAGACGAGCTGAGGGGAGTCTCTATAGACGAGCTGAGGGGAGTCTCTATGGACAAGCTGAGGGAAGTCTTTATCAAAGAACAGAGGTTATATGATTCCGTAATAGAAATGAAAATAGAAAATTTTATAAGAAAAAAAAAAAATTCGATCGTCTCTTCTCAAGGTCGTCTTAATAGGTCTGTTGAATAACCTTCCCAATTAGTTTCATGTTTTTATTAAAATTGGGTTATTTCTTAGAGGTTATCATATGTGATTCACATTGGGCGCCATTTTGGAGTCATTATTCAAGATAGAAGAAGAAGTCACCGAATTTTAGTTTTTGGCTGTCAGTTTTCCAAATAAATCTTCTCTACATGTTAACTGGACCATTGTGTATGAGTGTAGAGTTTTCACGTTGGGCGCCATTTTGTAAAATACCTATTTTTCATTATTTTCTCAGGAAAGAATATATTTTATTCATACTTACATCAGAATCCGGGTGTTATATGCTTCAATTGTTGTATAGAACCCACATTGGGCGCCATTCAAACTATTTTTCCAATATATATATATATATATATATATAAATATATATATTATATTGTTATATATTAATTGTTAACGAAGAATAATGTAGCTTGTGTGCTCTATGTAATCATTTCATTCCAGATGATAGGGTATTGACGAGACAAGAGACAAGAGAAGGGAGGAGGACCATCTATCCATCAAAAATATGATATAAATTCCATTGACTTTTAAAAGGGTGGGGTTACCGTTTCGAAATACATGATGAGTGTTCTGCATTACTCATACATAATTCGTAATTAATTATATATTAGATGTAGGAAATAGACAGCGTTCATCATTCATCCCAAGTAAAAGTTCTGCTATGAAATCCAATACATTTTAGTCATATATATTTTGAATGACAATTCGCCCGTCTATGATTCATTTGCGTGCTGCAGGCAACAAATTAGAAAAGTATTCAAAGCATTTTACAATTTCCCATTGAAGCCAAAAAAAAAAAAAAAAACAAAAAATAGTAAAAGTCTCAGGTAACATGCCGTCTGTATAGATTCTTGCAATTGTTTTTTTTTCTCAAATTTTCAGGTCTCAAGGTTATGTTTAATCAAGGGGTTGTTGGTGTGTGTCTGTGTGTGGGGAATTCTTGTTAGAAATATTTGTTTTTAGTTTTCTTGTGGTTTTCCAATGTCAAGAAATTATAGAGATTGTTTTGTACAAATTTCAACAATTCTTTTTTTTTTTGGTGGGAATCTTAAGAGGTTTACATTTTTGTGAACTTGGGGAAATAATTGTTGCCGCATAGTGATTCAAAATCGTTTTCTCATTGGTCGAAATTCTGTAAGCCTAAAGAAATTTTTCATATTTTGAACAGAGAACATTTTACGATTTTCTTTGATTTCAATTTTGACAGTTCAAAATTCTAAGTTTACAATGGGAAGTTGTGAATGTTTTTAAATTTTTTTAAATTAAATATGGTCGCCATAAGGGATTGACAAATATGAGAATATTTGCTCCTTTAAAGAGACCCCCACTTCAGCTCATCTACAGAGACTCCACCTTCAATCCATCTACAGAGACTCCCCTCCAGTCTGTCTTCAGATATTCCCCCTTCGCCCTCCAGTTCGTCTACAGAGACCAGTTCGTCTACAGAGACTTTTCCTTCAGTTCGTCTACAAAGACTTCCCCGCCAGCTCATCTACAGAGACTCCTTCTTCAGTTCGTCTATACAGACTTCCCCGCTAGCTCATATACAGAGTCTCCCTCTTCATCTCATCTACAGAGACTACCCCTCCAACTCGTCTACAGGAACTCCCCCACCAACTCGTCTACAGAGACTCCCCCTTCAACTCGTCTCTGAATACCCACTGATGGAATTTCTATTTTACAATATTTCGGTGAATCGACCTCAACCTTTGTATGCAATAAGATAATGAAAACACATCTCCATGTCTGTCTGAAATCTGAGGTAAATACAAAATGGCGCCCAACGATAACCCAAAAAAAAGTAAATGATTCATGTTTTTGTAACACTTACTTATTTTAAAGGAGATGATCATTAAAAAAAAACAACTTAAAATGCAGTAAGTTCTGTCCGACCGAACTTTGAACGAATTTGAAAATTTTCCAAAATTAAAATCCGTTAAAAGTTCTGTTAAAATCTTAAAAATACCGAATAAGCCGTTATATATTGGGGTCTATACGACGTGGACCAACGTAGGCCATAAGCCATTACCATATTCAAATTCGAATGGTGAAATAAACGGTGAATAACGTAGCTAACATCATCAAAATAGTGTATTTAGGGAGGTACCGTTATGTCGGAGCTATACGAAAACCGGGACCTGCATAGACAATTTTCTGCTACAGGCTGTAGCATCCATTACGAATTTTAAATACCACATATCAAACAATTTCGATTAGTATTGTACTTAAACTCGTCAAAATACCGAATATAAGGAGGTACTGGTATGGCGGGGCCGATACGAAGACTTGGACCTGCATAGACAATTCTCTGTCACAGACTGTAGTTTCCATTACTAACTCTAAATACGTAATTTGAAACAATTCCGGTACATAATGCCGCGGAAATTAGCAAAATATCGAATATAGGGTGGCACCGCTATATGGGGGTTATACGAATACCTGGACCTGTAAAGATAATATTCTGCCTTAGGCTGCAGTATCCATTACGAACTTCAAATACCAAATTTAAACTAATTCCGGTGAATAATGTCGCTAAAATCATCAAAATACCGAAAAAAGGGAGGTACCATTATATGGGGGCTATACGAAGACGTGGACCTGCAAAGATAATATTCTGCCTTAGGATGCAGTATCCATTACGAACTTCAAATACCAAATTTGAAACAATTCCGGTGAATAATGTCGCTAAAATCATCAAAATACCGAAAAAAGGGAGGTACCATTATATGGGGGCTATACGAAGACGTGGACCTGCAAAGATAATATTCTGCCTTAGGCTGCAGTATCCATTACGAACTTCAAATACCAAATTTAAAATAATTCCAATGAATAATGTCGCTAAAATCATCAAAATACCAAATATCGGCTGGCACCGTTATATGGGGGCTATACGAAGACGTGGACCTGCACTGACAATTTTCTGTCATAGGCTGTAGTATTCATTACGAATCTCAAATACCAAATTTGAAAAAACTCCGGTGAATAATGTCGCTAAATTCATCAAAATATCTAATATAGGGAGGTACCGTTGTATGGGGGCTATACCTAAACGTGGACCTATATAGCCCAAAAGTCATGCAGACCAAAGACACATCTGAGTAAAATTGTTATCAACCTGCTTCAATTCGTTTGGAAGCTGGAGTGATTGATTTAAAATACAGGAAGGCATGGGGTTCACGTTGGGCGCCATTTTTTTATTATTTTTCTTCAAATAGGCAAAGGAGGACCCTAAAAAAGTTTTCTCCATTCGTTGGTCAGCTAGTCCTTAAGTAAAAAAGTCTTCAAAAATATCAAATTTTTTTGGCCTGAAAATAATGTTTTAAATTTCAATATTCAATTTTTTTTGACAATTTCATTATTATTTTGAAAATTTTCGATTTCGTTTTCCAGCTCAATGCCCAACAACGTTATGTGGAATTTCAACGTTTGGTTGCGCTGCAATCTCGGCAAATAAATAAGGAGTTGATTTTTGATCGTCGCCTATATCGTCAATTGATGCTGCAATCGGAAGTGGGTCCCAATGCCCTGCCGCTGGAGTCTTTGGATAGGGTAAGTCCAGATATAAAATTTGAAGAGAGGATATGGAAATAATTTTGAATTCGAACATTTTTTTCAGTACAACCGCCTCATAAATGAAATGCTCTATATCTACAATGGAGCCACGATCTGTGCCTATCAGCAGCCGTTTTTATGTAATTTACGTTACATACCCGATTTAAAGGAGATAATGTCCAAGTCACGAGACTGGGATGAGCTGCAGCATACCTGGGTGGAATATCATCGCAAAGCTGGCCGGGAGATGCGCGATGGCTATGAACAGCTGGTGGATGTGATGAATGAGGTGGCCCATGTGAATAGTGAGTATGAAAAGAGGTTGTGGGGAGAGAGTGGGGGGAGAGAGTGGGAGAAAATGAGAGTGTGGGAGAAAGCGAGAGAGAGGGAGAAAAAATTGAAAGAGAGAGGGAGAGGGAGAAAAAATGAAAGAGAGAGTGAGAAAAAGTGAGAGAGATTGGGGGAGAGTGGGGGAGGAGAGAGTGAGGGAAAGAGTGGGGGAGGAGAGAGTGAGGGACAGAGTTGGGAAGGAGAGAGTGAGGGAAAGAGTGGGGGAGGAGAGAGTGAGGGAAAGAGTGGGGGAGGAGAGAGTGAGGGAAAGAGTGGGGGAGGAGAGAGTGAGGGAGAAAGTGGGGGAGGAGAGAGTGAGGAAGAAGAGACTGAGGCAAAGAGTGAGGGAGAAGAGACTGAGGCAAAGAGTGGGGGAGGAGAGAGTGAGGGAGGAGAGAGAGTGAGGGAGGAGAGAGAGTGAGGGAGGAGAGAGTGAGGGAGAGTGAGTGAGGGAAAGAGTGGGGGAGGAGAGAGTGAGGGAAAGAGTGGGGAAAGAGAGAGTGAGGGAGAGAGTGGGGGAGGAGAGAGTGGAGGAGGAGAGAGTGAGGGAAAGAGTGGGGGAGGAGAGAGTGGAGGAAGAGAGATTGAGGGAAAGAGTGGGGGAGGAGAGAGTGGAGGAGGAGAGAGTGGAGGAGGAGAGAGTGGAGGAGGAGAGAGTGAAGGAAAGAGTGGGGGAGGAGATAGTGGGGGAGGAGAGAGTGAGGGAAAGAGTGGGGGAGGAAAGAGTGAGGGAGGAGAGAGTGAGGGAGGAGAGAGTGAGGGAGGAGAGAGTGAGGGAGGAGAGAGTGAGGGAAAGAGTGAGGGAGGAGAGAGTGAGGGAGGAGAGAGTAAGGGAAAGAGTGGGGGAGGAGAGAGTGAGGGAGGAGAGAGTGAGGGAGGAGAGAGTGAGGGAGGAGAGAGTGAGGGAAAGAGTGAGGGAGGAGAGAGTGAGGGAGGAGAGAGTAAGGGAAAGAGTGGGGGAGGAGAGAGTGAGGGAGGAGAGAGTGAGGGAGGAGAGAGTGAGGGAGGAGAGAGTGAGGGAGGAGAAAGTGAGGGAGGAGAGAGTAAGGGAGGAGAGAGTAAGGGAGGAGAGAGTGAGGGAGGAGAGAGTAAGGGAGGAGAGAGTAAGGGAGGAGAGAGTAAGGGAGGAGAGAGTGAGGGAGGAGAGAGTAAGGGAGGAGAGAGTGAGGGAGGAGAGAGTGAGGGAGGAGAGAGTGAGGGAGGAGAGAGTAAGGGAAAGAGTGGGGGAGGAGAGAGTGAGGGAGGAGAGAGTGAGGGAGGAGAGAGTGAGGGAGGAGAGAGTGAGGGAGGAGAGAGTGAGGGAGGAGAGAGTAAGGGAGGAGAGAGTAAGGGAGGAGAGAGTGAGGGAGGAGAGAGTAAGGGAGGAGAGAGTAAGGGAGGAGAGAGTGAAACTTGATTAAATTATCCTCTCTTTTCAGATGTCACCGATGGCGGAGAGTATTGGTATTTGGCCTATGAGTCGAACAATTTCCGCCAGGATGTCGATAATGTCTGGGAACAGATACGACCCCTCTATGAATCCCTACATGCCTATGTTCGTCGCCGTTTACGTGAATACTATGGACCGGAGCGGGTCAACCGCATTGCTCCCATACCCTCACATATTTTGGGCAATATGTTCGGCCAATCATGGTCGAATATTTTGGATATTGTCATTCCGTATCCGGGTAAGAAGTTGATTGACGTAACACCTCGAATGTTGGAACAGGGTTATACGCCACAGCTGATGTTCCAATTGGCTGAGGAGTTTTTCACTTCGATAAATATGTCTGCTGTCGGGCCGGAATTCTATCAGAATTCTCTGATAGAGCAGCCACTGAATCGTCGAGTGTTGTGTGAACCCTCCGCTTGGGATTTCTGTAATCGCCACGATTTTCGAGTGAAACTCTGTACCGACATCAATCAGAAGAGTCTGATAAGTGTCCACCATGAAATGGCCCATATTCAGTATTTCCTGCAGTATCGTCACTTGCCCAAGGTGTTTCGGAATGGAGCCAATCCGGGTGAGTATCGGAAGTTTATTTTTGGAGTTTTAAAAATTATTTAATTTGCTTTCAATTTGTGTAGCCTTCCACCAGGCCGTGGGCGATGCCATTGGCTTGTCCGTAAGCACTCCCCGACATTTCCAGACTCTGGGCCTACTTCAAAGATCTGTGGATGAGAGTAGCTATGACATCAATTATCTCTTTACCATGGCCATTGACAAGGTGGCATTTATGCCATATGCCTTGGCCCTGGATAACTGGCGTTATGATGTCTTTAGCGGGAGAGCCAACAAGCATATGATGAACTGCCATTACTGGAATTTGAGGTGAGAGAGAGAGTGGGAGTTTTTGAAAAATTCGAACTTTTGGGGTACGAAAAATACTAAAAGGTACAAAATATTAAATTCTCGTCGAACGATTGAAAATTGTGATTGAGAATCTCCTTTTGAGTGGTGGATGAAAATTCGCACTTTGAGGGTACGAAAAAGTAGTAAAAAGTTCAAAAATTCGCATTTAAAGGGTACGAAAAAGTACACAATGGTACATTTTCATTAAACGATCGAAAATGTAGTATGAGAATAACTTTTCGTGTAGTGGATGAAAAAGACAGGATTTTTAGAAATTCGTACGTTAATGGTACGAAAAGTACGAAATTGTTTCTGAAGGACATATAAGGGTACAAAAGTGTCATTCATCGATCTTTGGAAGCTAAAACATTAAAATTTGAATTTTTTTCGGTTTTTTTTCGGAGCTGTGCACTATAAGGGTTAGATAAGTACAAAATAGTACCAAAAAATTCAGAAAGGTACAATCTTCTTTCTGAGCGATCAATAAAGCCAAATTTTAAAATTTTACATAAAAATTATTTCTGGGTAAGATATGATGAAGGTATTTTCGTAACATTGTACTTTTAGGGTATGAAAAGTACTAAAATGTACAAAATCGTACCAAACCGCTTTAGAACGCTCGAATAAGAGCTGCAACTTTTAAATTTGACAAGAGACACTCTGGAGTGGAATAAAGCGTTATTGTTGATACTATTGCTTTAAGTGTAAAGAAGTACAAAAATGTACAAAATGGTACGCAATTTTTATTGAATTATCGATTTTTGCTTGATTTCGGAATTTAGCATGAGGGACACTCTTGGGAGAGATAAATGGAGATTTTTGAAAATAAATGTACTAATGGGTACGAGTAGCACTAACTGATACAAAATGACACAATATTTTTACAAAGCGATTGATCAAAGACAAACTGTGGAATTTTGCATGAGGGTAACTCTTGGATGAAATGGGCGGGATTTTCGGGACTTCTTCTTTAAGTGTACAAAAAGTCCTAAAAGATACAAAATGGTACAAATTTTTATAGACAAATCGTTTAGAGATAGAGATACATTTAAGTGCAGAAAAAATGTTCTAAAAGGCACCAAATGGGACACAATTCTTGTATCAATCAATTAGAGCTGGTACTTTGAAATTTGGCATAAAAGTGACCTCTTGGTAGAGGAAAAGCGAGATTTTTTGAAAATGTGTGCTAATGGATATGAATAATACTAACTGGTGCAAAATGGTACAACTGATTCATTAAGCAATCAATCAAAGCTAACATTTTAAAATTTGCATGAGAATCACAATTTAATGAGATCCGAAAATTTATTCAGAACTTTCTCCTTTAGGGGTACAAAAAGTACCTAAAGGTACAATATCGTACCATATTGCAATTGAACGATAGGATAAATCTACAACTTTTAAGTTGAATGAGGATCACTCTTAGGTCGCCATACAAGGATCAATCCTCATGTATTTTTTTTTTTTTTGAGATTACAGTTTAGAACAGCGCTGAGGCCTGGCATTTGGACTATCATCGGGTAATATTTAGCTGGTGAAATCGACCACAATTTTGTGTGAAAAAATATAAAAATGTAGCTGATTTCGTTTTTTTTTTATATTTTCCCATTTTTTATACCCTCCACCATACTATGGAGGGTATATTAATTTTGTCATTCCGTTTGTAACTCCTTGAAATACTCATGTCAGACCCAACAAAGTATATATATTCTTGATCAGCGTAAAATTCTAAGACGATTTAGCCATGTCCGTCTGTCTGTCTGTTGTAATCACGCTATCTTTCGAACAAATAGAGATAGAAGGCTAAAATTTTGCAAACATGTATATTTTGCCAGTAGACAGGTTAAGTTCGTAAATGGGCCATGTAGGCCCAAGAAATCATATAGCCCCCATATAACGGTACCTTCCGATATTCGGTATTTTTGATGATTTTAGCGATATAATTCACCGGAATTGTTTCAAATTTGGTATTTGAAGTTCGTAGTGGATACTACAGCCTAAGGCAGAAAATAATCTATGTAGGTCCACGTCTTCGTATAGTCCCTATATAATGGTACCCCCGATATTCGGTATTTTGATGATTTTAGCGACATTATTTAACGGAATCGTTCCAAATTTGGTATTTGAAGTTCGTAATAGATACTGCAGCATAAAACAGAAAATGAGCCATATAGGTCCAAGTCTTCATATAGCCCCCATATACCGTACCCCCCGATATTTGGTATGATGATGATTTTAGCGACATTATTTACCGGGATTGTTTCAAATACGGCATGTGAAGGTCGTAATGGATACTTCAGCCCATGCCAGAAAATTGTCTGTTCAGGTCCACGTCTTCGTATAACACCCATATAACGGTACCCCCCATATACGGTATTTTAATGATTTTAGCTAAATTATAAACATATTTTTCTTCAAGTTTCGCATTTAAATATTGTAATAACTTATGACAAAACTTGCCTATGCAGGCCCACGTCGTCGTATAAGCATTCGGAATTCTTAAGATATTAACAGAATTTTTAACGGATTTTATTTTTTGGAAATTGCCAAATTTGTACCAAATGGTGGAGGGTATTAAAAGTTCGGCCCGGCCGAACTTACTGCTTTTTTACTTGTTTTTCAATAAAATGTAGATAATTTTACGTTGGGCGCCACAATATATTAATTTTCCTTATTTCTATTCTAGAGAAAAATATGGCGGAATAAAACCTCCAGTGCTGCGTTCGGAGAAGGACTTTGATCCTGGTGCCAAATATCATGTTCCCGCCAATATACCATATATCAAGTAAGTGCCATACTTAGTTCTACTTTTTAGGAAAAAAAAAACAAAACAAAAACCCAAAAAAGTATTTTTGGTTTTTTATACTCTAAAAAATCACATTTTCAAAAACCAGAAATTATGATTGAATTGCAAAAACAATGTTATGTTGTGCATCAAAATGTTATACCAAATGTCAAAATGTTGTGATTATATGAAGCGGAATATTTCAGTTTTCCTTAGGTACTATATTTTAGCAAAAATAAAACTTTAGGGGACTAAAAATCCCAGATGTAATTTCTTATATCGTTTTACAAAAGTAACAGCAAAAGGGAAAAAATTATGAATGCGGGTCCATGAATATGACCCTGGGATCTCGCTGTAGTTCGTGGTCGGAAGGCCTTGCCATGCATATTTAGATGTGTTATTATCTTATATTTAATGGCTCTTCTATAGATAGATGACCCTTTAAGAGCTCTTCTAGTGATAGAAGGCCCTTTAAGGGCTCTTCTATAGATAGAAGAGCCCTTTAAGGGCTCTTCTAGTGATAGAAGGCCCTTTAAGGGCTCTTCTATTGATAGAAGGCTCTTTAAGGGCTCTTCTGTAGATAGAAGGCCCTCTAAGGGCTCTTCTTTTGATAGAAGGCCCTTTAAGGGCTTTTCTATAGATATATGACCCTTTAAGGGCTCTTCTATTGATAGAAGACCCTTTAAGGGCTCTTCCATTGATAGAAGGCCCTTTAGGGCTTTGCTATTGATAGAAGGCCCTTTAAGAGCTCTTCTATAGATATATGGCCTTTTAAGTTCTCTTCTATAGATAGAAAGCTCTTTAAGTTTTCTTCTAGTGATAGAAGGCTCTTTAAGGGCTCTTCTATTGATATAAGGCCCTTTAAGGGCTCTTCTAGTGATAGAAGGCCCTTTAAGGGCTCTTCTAGTGATAAAATGCCCTTTAAGAGCTCTTCTATAGATAGAAGGCTCTTTAAGTTTTCTTCTAGTGATAGAAAGCCCTTTAAGGGCTCTTCTAGTGATAGAAGGCCCTTTAAGGGCTCTTCTATTGATATAAGGCCCTTTAAGGGCTCTTCTAGTGATAGAAGGCCCTTTAAGCTCTCTTCTAGTGATAGAAGGCCCTTTAAGGGCTCTTCTATTGATATAAGGCCCTTTAAGGGCTCTTCTAGTGATAGAAGGCCCTTTAAGGGCCTTCCGACCACGAACTACAGCCTGCATATTTAGTTTTGTTCTTATCTTATATTTAAGGGCTCTTCTATTGATATAAGGCCCTTTAAGGGCTCTTCTATTGATTGAAGCACCTCTAGGGACTCTTCTTTTGATAAAAGGTCCTTTAAGGACTCTTCTCTTGATAGACCACAGACCCTGTGGAGACCAAGAATGCATGCTGCATCCACATTCTAATTGAGTTATCCACAGCCGCTGAGGAAATGTGACCCAAAATAAGCTGCTCCGCTGAGTTGTTATAAGCTACCATATAAAGGAGCGACTTTAGAAAAGCCGCTCGAAGGGACCTTTATCGAGTCCAGTTGAGTTGTCAAAAGTCACTGGAGATTGAAGCTTGGAGACCAATACCACAGTGTCCGGTGATGGAGTCTCCTTGACATCCATCCAGAGAACCGTTCAGATTTCGTTGCAGACACCAATAACCGTTGTGCGAATTATATTCCCAGAATAAACCGAGGTAACGCCAGATAAACAACAACCATCGCCTTTTATGTTGACTTAATATCAGCGATTAAAATTTCTTTGATTTGAAATAATTTTTTTTATTGTCGACTTGCTGCCAATGCATTTTCGAAATGTATTTTTTCCTTACCTCCCAATTACAAAATTTACAAATGGTTTTTATTCGTGCTTCATTTAATGTGTCTCAATCAAATAAACATTTTATCTAAATAAAGACATACAATATCTCAATGCCTGTTTGCCAGTCCATACGTTAGACCATGAGACCCGTGCCAAAATGAATATGTGTGTTTGTATGTAAGTCCAACAGATGTTCCACAATAAATGTAAATTCCAAAATTGAAAAAATGCCGGGCTATCTTTTAATGCGAGCATTGGCGTAGTTGGATTTTAGATGAAAAGATCTTGGATTTCCAAGAGGACATAAATCCCTTAAATATAATATATATTTCTCTTTTTCACTCTCTGTCTCTCTCTCTCTCGCATTCTCTCCCTCATATCAGAGAATTGGATTTTAGAGAAATAAATTTTGGATTTTCAAGTGGATACAAATGAGATTTGTCAGGGTTGTCAGATTTTTTCTACTGCCATCGCCGAATTAGGCTCCAGAATTCGCCGAAAATCGCCAAAACGAAAATCCTTAATGCCTATTTTATACTGCATTTACCTTTTTTGTAATTTCCAATTAATTTATTTGAGTCAATTTTTTTCCAAGTAACTTGCAGGCACAATTTCATTTAAAAAATTATTACTGGTAAATGACCAATTTCTTTTTTCAAAACAACCTACCTATATGAACCCTATATCCACGAATTGTTTCTCATACCAATATTTCAAATTTTAACCATATAATTCCAAATGGTCCAAACTTAGTACTTATGTCCAGTACAATAAGTACTAAAATGTACAAAATTTGTTTGAGTTTCGAAAACACCTTTAGTTTGTCATCCTACACAATGTCAAGCACTCTCCCCCCAAATTTCAAATTTCTACCTCTATTGCTTCCCAAAATGCCAATGGTACTACTATTTAGTACTTTTGGTACTTTTAAGTACGTATTTGCAAATCTCCGTCAAGTTTCAACTAAACCGCACAAAAGGTGATTGTAATGCCAAATTTCACATTTCAAGCAGCATCCGTTCACGCAATGCCAAATTTAGTACCATTTAGTACCTTTCGTGTACATAAGTGCAAATTTCGAAAACTACCTCCATATCCCAATTTATGTCCTCTTTTGTAAAATATGACAAAATTGGAGTGAGATTAATACCGAAATGTACAATTATAACTATTTTGCTACTCTATATACTTTCGTACAATCTTTACAAAATTTAGTACCATATAGTACTTTTTTTCAAAACCACCTACTTATATCAATCCTATTTTCACGAATTGTTTCTCATACCAAAATTTCGAGTTTTAACCACAATCCGTTCACACAATTCTAAATGGCACCAAACTTAAAGTACATTTTAGTACTTATGACATGTACCATAAGTACAAAAATGTACAAAGTTTTTCGAATTTCGAAAAACCCTTTAGTTTGTCTATCCTATGCAACATCAAAGATGCTTACCCGAAATTTTAGATTTCTAGCTCCATAGGTTCCCAAAATACTAAAGATAATACTATTTGGTACTTTTCGTACTTTTAAGTACGCATTTCCAAATCCCGGCCAAGTATCAACCAAAACGCACAACAGGTGATCGTATCTACATATACTGATTCTACACCCTGACAGTAATTTAATTTTAAATTTTCAGGATACTAGCTCTATCGGTTCACCCAAAGCCAAATTGTACCGAATTTAGTACGATTTAGTACTTTTCGTGCACATGAGTACACATTTCCAAAACTACCTCCATATAACAATCCTACAACCCGGCAGTAATATTAATTCCAAATTTCAGGATTCCAGCTCTATCGGATAACCCAAATCCAGATTTTATCAAATTTAGTACCCTTTAGTACACAAATTGTACAAATGCCCATAACTACCCACATCATACAATCCCAATAGAAATCTTATTTCAGAATTCCAACACTATCGGTTCTCCCAAATATTTAAATTGTACCAAATTTAGTACCATTGCGTACACATAGGAACGAATTTCCAAAACAACCCACATATCCCATTCCAACACTCCAAAAGTAATTTTATTTTAAAATTTCATGATTCCAACTCTATCAGTTTCCCTAACAATTAAATTGTACCCAGTTTTGTACCTTTTAGCACACATAAGTACAAATTTCAAAAACTTCCTCCGTATCCCAATCCTACATTTCCACAGTAATCTTATTTCCAATTTCACGATATCAGCTCTATTGGTTAACCAAAATCAATATTGTTCCAAACGTAGTACCATTTAGTACACATAAGTACAAATTTCACTAACTACCTATACCATACAACCCAATAGAAATCGTATTTCTTGTTTTCAGGATACCAACACGATTTCTTCTCCAAAAATTTAAATTGTACAAAATTTAGTACCTTTTAGTACATATAAATACCATTTAGTACACATAAGTACAAATTTCCAAAACCTCCTACATATCCCAACCTTACATTCCCACAATAATCCGAATTCCAATTTCAGGATACCAGCTCTATTGGTTAACCAAAATCAAATTTGTACCACATTTAGTACCATTTAGTACAAATTTCATAAATACCTACATCATACAATCCAATAGAAATTTTATTTCACAATTTCAGGATTTCAACACTATCGGTTCTACCAAAAATTTAAATTGTACGAAATTTAGTACTATTAAGTACACATAAGTACGAATTTCCAAAAGAACCTACATATTCCAATCATACACCCTGACAGTATTTTTTTCCAATTTTAAGGATATAAGCTCTATTGGTTTATCCAAATTCAAATTGTACCAAATTTAGTACCATTTAGTACACAAATTGTACAAATGCCCATAACTACCCACATCATACAATCCAATAGAAATTTTATTTCACAATTTCAGGATTTCAACACTATTGGTTCTCCCAAAAATTTAAATTGTACCAAATTTAGTACCATTGCGTACACATAGGTACGAATTTCGCAAAACTACCTACATATTCCAATCCTACACTTCCACAATAATCCTAAATTCCAATTTCAGGATACCAGCTCTTTTGGTTAACCAAAATCAAAATTGTACCAAATTTAGTACCATTTAGTACACATAAGTAAGAATTTCCAAAACTTCCTACATACCCCAATCCCACAAAGTCTAATTTCCAAATTTCAGGATTCCAACACTATCGCTTCACCCAAATTGAAATTGTACCAAATTTAGTACACATAAGTAGAAATTTCCAAAACC